CCAATTTTACAGTTTCATTCACATTTGGTAACATAAAACATAAAAATGCAGCATTTCAGAATAAGGGCAGTAAACACGCAGTCCAAAAAGTCTCGTCTTCAGCTTGAAGTCTGTCATCCAACGATGTTCTTCTATTTTTCTGTTTGCTGTGTCTTGTAGGCAAATGACAAAAGTACTGCTGTAAGCAAATCAAGAGCAGCATGTAACAGCAGATTCTTCAGAAACTCATAAACGAAGTTTGCATAATGCTCCCGCCGCAGTTGCCTCATCCAGGTTGCCTAATCTCATTCCCTTTCAGCGAAAACGTTTATGTAGAATATGCCACAAAACAATGACAGAAAAGAATAAGCCATAAACTCAGCAGATAGCTCAGCTGAATCTACGCAAAACGTTGAGATCCATGCAGAAAACAGTAGCGACAAAAACGTACAGCAAACCATAACACCTGAAGATCAACAGGCGCTAAACAGGGTCCATTTTAAGACAGCAGCGAAATAATGTAAAGCTACTGTTTATTTCAGTCAGCATTGGCTTTGACCAAAAGAGAACACGGCATAATAGTTCTTTAAGGATGATCCCTAAAGCTGCTAAAGAAGGAAACGTAAATGGAAAAGAAAAGAGTGAAAGAAGCAGGAGTGCAGAAAGAAGATGAAGGAAAAAGAGAAGAAAAAAGAAGCGAAAAGACAAAGACAGAAAATGAAGACTGAAAAAAGTTAGAAGAAAAAAAATAGAAGCTATAGAAGCCGTCGCAAGCAAAGCATACAGTTTAACAACCTGCCAGCGTTATTTGTTGAAAACATATTTTATCAACCCACATATCAAGAATTAGCTGGCAGTAAATAATCAACGATACAACATGGTCATGAAATGCGCACACAAAAAGAAGTAATATTCAAGTGCTTACTTTCTTGACAACCTTTACTACATGCGAGGTGGCATACGGATAAACGTTGTAACTGAGAACCTCTACAATAAACGGACCATAAGTCTGCCGTCCTTTATTATGTATGAAGTGAGGATACACCTGAAATGTACTTAAAACTGAAACAGAACTTATATTTGTATAATGATTTGCATATCAACGATGGCTAATAAATCGAAACTAGCTCATCAAAATCTGCGCAATATTTTAATACTTGAACAATGTAATCCTCTCCCCAGTACAACGATGCAACATCAGAGCATTACATCGGACAATCAAATAACACGGAGCGCGGACTGGTATTAAATTAAGAGCAAGGTGGTAGTGCAGACCACCGTGAAATTTGGTGACATGAAGAGTGAAGCTTCACATAAAAATGTTTTTTACACTGTTCTGAAACACGTTTCAACAACTAACGGAACAGCTGAAAAAAATGAATTCTTGATATGCAACGCAACTTCGCCGTTGCAACTCCAAAACCCGAATGAGGAAAGAAGAGGTTTGAGTACAGTGGCGAGGTTTCCCCTGAAACTCAGCGAATGTTCTTCATGGTATTGTCATTTTCAAACGTTATACCGGTTCGGTCGGCCTGGATTACTTAACGCAGCACAGGCGTTTGGGAGTCTGAAGCAGACTGCTGTAAGTTGGAAATCACAACCTGCGTCTTGCCACCTGGTAGGTGGAGGCGTAGCAGCACGGCGATGGCTGTCGAAGATCGACAAATAGACCAAAAATTTACCAATCAGCAGCGACGCCACTATCCTTTCAAAATGGACAAGGCAGACAGCGCAATGAAATCAAAACACGCCAGACAAGGTTGCACGGGAGCGATACCTACAGTCAGTACCTACATCTCCTGTCAGAAATTGGAACATCTAATCACTCAGAAGAAAAAAGTAGGAGTTATCTGTGAGGCTAAAATTAGTTGGTGAGGTAACGAGTGCACAAAGTTGGACTCTCGTCAATGAAGCGTCAGGGTTGTTGAGTGCTGAGTCTCTCTGCCAGTGGCAGCTACTTAGGTGTCTAATTCACGGCACGCCCTCAGGCCGGTGTTAGTATTCCAGTAAAACCTACCCCAGCTAACGGAATCACTGAATGGAAGCCCGGCAGTGGAATAGTGGTAGCCATCCGGCTGAAGCTTCAACAGCCTAAAGCTTTGACTCTGCTCCAGGTCTATGCGCCCAGTTTTGAGGGAGAACATGAGTCCTTCGTGGAGGAAGTAGAAGATGCTCTGTACGAAGTGCCGACTACTGAACCTATTGCCGATTTCACTACGAATGACGAAGTCGGATTATCTTCTGTCGAAGCTGAAACGCTGACGCAGGATCCAGAACGTTGGAAGTACTGTGTGACGCGTCTGTCGCCGCGACCCGAAAAGAGATGCCGTCATCGAAACTGACTGATATTCAACTTAATACAATGTTCTGTCAGAGTTTAGAGCCTAAGACCTATACGGATGCCCCGGCCGACATTTCAAAGGCTTTCTTCACAGTAAATGTGTGGAAGAGGTTGGGTGATTGTTCAGATTGCCTGCAGCACGCCATTTGTTTGGAACTGAGAGACGAGCGTCGTGAATTGTTTTATGGCGATATATTTATTTAGGCCGGTAATATACGGACCGAAACCTCGTCGCTGCACCTACCATGCGACAGACCTCTGCAGTGGGTAACGCGATGATCAACTGTTTTAAAATTTTCCTCAGAATTACTAGCTAAATATTTTAATAAAAGCGATGTAAAAGTTTTTGGATGACTGATCCTCCTTTGAAAGAGAATTTCGACCACTTTAGCGCCGTTGGAGATAAGTAGGAGGTGATTTTAATAACAGTAATTTTAACAAACAAGCAGGTTGTCGAATCAGACATGAACATCAGTGACAAATGTTTACTTGAAAAGTTTACACGCGACAAATTCCTGTTTTGACAGAAAAAATGCTTAGCCTGGAGATTCAAGTCATCATTAACCATGTGACGAACCTGGCTGATTCCTTTACTTTCATTAATAAAAGTCAGCAGTGGGATGTTGCTTAAATATTAGTTCTTATTATAAATAATTGGTCTTGATCATCGACGGTTTTACACTTGTAAAATTGCACTGATACTAACGAAAGGGCCTTTTTGAATTACCGGTTCGGGAATGGCTTTAAACTCGCAAGTCTTTTTCATCACTTCTGGTTAATCCGTGTTTGTGAGATTTTTAGTTCATAGTCGAGGTTAGTAACGTTTTCCATGGCCTGAATCAGGAAGGCTTCTAACAAGGATCTACATCACAGCCACTGCAGGTCAGAGTTGCTGAGTGCAAGAAAACCGGCAAAAGAGCGGTCTTGGGGCAAAGAAGCATTGCACAGTTAAGAAGGACTTCTCGAGCGAGCGGATCGGGCCAGATCGACTCCGGGAAACGATATTCACTATGGCGGAATCGAACATCCTCGCAAAGATCTTACTAGAAGCCTTCCTGATTTAGGCAAAGAAATAGATGACGAATGGGGATTGCGGAATAGAAATGTCGAAAACATGGATTCGAGTGCAAAAAAGGCTTTGAGGCCAAGGCAATTTCTAACTGAGGTAGGGGAACAAATCGTAATTTTACTCGTGCCTGTCGAAGATGAAGAATACCAGATCGTCAACACTAAGCATTTTTGACCAAACTTTATGGTGATGTAACGTCGGATTGCTCACCTGTACTTATAAAAGTAAAGGAAATAGTGAGTTTTCAACATGACAAACGAATGCTAGAAACTCTAGCTTTAGTAATGAAACAGTTCACGTGAAAATCTTTCCAAGGTTGTTCGTCTTATTGAGTTCAAGTGAAAAAGTTAGGACAGTTCAATTGAAAGACACGGAAACGTGCCTTTAGGCGCTCTGACCACTAAGCCAAAGAAAGGTTAAGGAACACCTTACTTTTCGAGGACAACTTGAAACAAAAGACAATGTTTATGTTCGATTTAAACTAAGCATTTTGGGAAGTGAAGTGCTTCGCTGAGATTATGCTAATGAGTGTTACGGCATGTTGATAGATCGTTATGTATGCATTGATGACATTTACATACTATTGAAAAATAACAACTTACTTTTGGATTTTCGTCATTCGTGAGATTAACAATTGTGTGGCAACTGTGATCAAAAACTAATGCCCAAAAGCTATGGACGGTGTGCGATTTTGGCCACTCTGTGACTATCCATTCATTTTTTCTCGTAAAACCCTAAAGAGTAAACATTTAGACTACACAAATGCACGTTTTGATTTTAAACTACAAACGACGATTGCCTTGAGAGAAACTAATTCTTGTGTTGATTAATTTAAAGAATTTATTTATTTGAGTGTTAAGCTGCAAATAAATATGTTGGTTTTTCACAAGGTCAAGAACTAAATCAACGTAGGTTAATATACCATCTCGTAATTACAGGGAGACTGAGTACCTGATACTGAAATTCTTTGGAATGTTGCCAGTGGAACTTGTCAGAACGATTCAGAACCGGGGTCATTTGAGAAATCTCGTGAAACTGCTGCCTTTTCGACTAGAAAGAAACAGCGGACTTTATAATGGGTTATTTAACTTGTGCAGTACATGACTAGGGATGACAACCTCAGAGCGTACGATGGCTTCATAGATGTCCTGCGGATCGAAAGAAAGCAAAAAATGGAGTTGCACCATCTGCTGATCATTACACTAGATAAACAGCTGTCAGTTGGTTCAAAGTGAGGTGTGCAGCTTCAGTTCGCAGTTAAGGCGAGAATGCTCCCAGGGGCTGATTGGAATTTGGCAATTATGATGTTCAAAGTCAACTTTCTGTCAGTCTGCCACAACAGTCGAGAGAAAGTTATAATTTAGACGTAAATATATACAAAAGATAACCAAAATGTTCTGGCGTATCTGCCACAGTGTGTGTGGCTTCTAAACACGCAAATAAATTTTGGATGATGGGCTAGAGATTAGAGATCACCGCCATGTCCATTCCTGAAAACTATGTGAAGGACTCCATATCATTTGCTCTCAGGATACTGAGATTTGTTGAAATAGCGCAAGGTGTTGCGGGTGGGACCAACCACAAACTCAGATTCGTCGAGAATTGCAACAATGCAAAGTGCGTGAATGGCAGAACCTCTAAACTCATTAACTTATGCAAGTGTGAATGTAAAGAACAAGAGCACAGAGCATGTTTATCCGCTGGCCGACAACAACGATTTCGTGAGCATAAAAATTTGGCCTCGATTTGTACGATCCTCATGGCTAAATCGACTATGGAGGTACACGTCGACTTTAGTGCCAATCGATGCTGATGACAAACAGATGATTGATAATAACGCTACTCCTGGGCCTTCTACCAAAGTGAGAGCTGAGTTGGAACCTCTGAATGAGGCGATTATGAATTTGTTCAAGATACTTCTATAGAAAGTAGAAAGTAGAAGCGTCTTCTGAACGAAACGTTATAGGAGCTTTAAGAACAATGTGTAGTAAAGTTTGAACCTATTTCGAAAACATATTCGTCTCCTTATTATCTCGTTAATCCGTTTGTCGCTCATATTTAAAATAGCATAAAATCGGTCTATTTATGCGAAGCACAAGCACAGTTTGTCAATCTGATGACTGATCAGCACCGACGGTGGGGCACTGGCTCTAAACCTCGCAATAGCTGTGAGCATAACAAGAACCCACCACTCCACGTTGAAGAAGGCCTGGGAGAAACGAGCAGTAAAGCCTGCACTGGAAAATGAATCCTCCGTTTGACTAAACTGAGTTCTGTAGAGATGAACCTTGCTTCATGCGGTTTACAAACATTTATGCAAAACTGACTCCACAATTTTCCAACATAATCATTCTGGCAGCAATTTCTTAAACTGTGGCCTTGCCGTAGACGTTCATCTTAATGCCTGTACAGACGATCCAGATGAACGATCAGCGATTATGTAACGTATGAAACAGTCAAGGATAGCTGGAAACAAATGTACTTGCATTTTGGAACCAGTAACGCAGGAGCATCCCTGAAATTACCTTCCAGAACTGATACTTTCGGCAGTCATAATGCAGCCGATGATAACCTAATTCTGACGTCGTCCTGTAAATGACTAGAAGTGGATGCATGCGAAAATTTCACGATCAGTGGCACGAAAAGTAAAATATATTTTTTTTTAAAACTCAGTACAGATCCAACGTTCGATGGAAGCTGCAACAATCATCATCAGAGAGCATACAATAAAACACATGCAATAATAATTTAGTATATTTATTGTCTATTCGCGGATGATAACTTATGTCAGTTCGATCGCGACGTGAGGTCTGTGTTAAATAAAAATTATACCTAATGTTTCTCCAGCTAAAGATGGAACCAGAAATCAGAGACTTTTCCATATAATGAAACAAATCATAGCGCATACTATAAACATGGGATACTGGTCTAGCTCATGCCCAGTCTTTGGCGATTTAAATTGAGGCATTACAGAATTAGCGAAGATTCACAAAAAATATTCTGCTAAAATAATCACAGTAACATTAATTTCACCAATTCGAATGTTTGTTACATTAAATAGTTGCTTTCATACGTAGGACCTGTTCGACAATTGAAGATTGTCATTCATATTATCATACCATTTACGAAGTAAACCATCTGAAAATCTAAGACCGACTCTGTTATATCATTGACTTTCAGACGAGTATATAATTATAAATATTTCTAATGCAATATCGCAACTGATCTCTCAAGAGAGGCTAAGATAATAACGACATTGGGAATGAAGATAGAAGCTTCCTCCGCAAAAATCTTAACCAGAGTCGACATCACGACAGACTGACTTAATAACATATATTTCGCAACCATTTTCCTTTAATCATTTTGCCACGTCCTCACGGTAATGGATTATTGCGGATCGACGAAACAAAAATAAGAGAATAAATCAACAAAGTAGGTAGGAGTGCGAATTGTCTAAATTTAATTCTGATTATTTTAAAAATAAATAGGTTAAATAATCTGCTTTGCGGCTTGATGCCTCTAGACTACAAAGCCTGAAGCGAACGGACCCTTTGTTTTCTCTTACAAACATGCATAAATTAAGCCTATGGTTGTGTATGCCCTAAGCTA